TATAGAACTGGGCTGTTGGAGATGGGGAAGAATCTAGTTTGCCCGGCAGGTGTGGCGAGTGGGCGGGGCTTCACCCGGAGGTGAGCAGGGTTGGTGGGCGGGGCTACGAAGAGCTTGGTTTGCCCGGCTGCAGAATGTGGAATTTGTTCTGCTGAGAGTAGGGAATGGGGTTCTTTACAGAATCAATTACTGCCTCATGTAAAGCAGTGGCACGGAGGGAGCACAACCAAATCCTGATCGTTTTCTTAAGAATTTGTTGCTTAGTCACTCAATTGTGTCCGACTCTTTGCAACCCCATGGACTGTAGCCCGCCAGGATCCTCCGTCAATGGGATTCTCCAGGCCAGAATACTGGAGTGTGGATTTCTTAAAATCCAGGTGCTTGAAAAGTCTTTGTATACAAGCCAAATACAGAGTTTAGGGACATTTCTGAGAAAATTCGCACCACCTTTGCAGAAACCTCTTAAGCACTTGTTCTTTGCGAACAGTTGTGTCTGTTTGCGATGCCATGGACTGTAGCCCGCCAGGCTCCTCTGTCCATGGGATTCTCCAGGCAAGAACACTGGAGTGGGTTGCCATGCCCTCCTCCAGGCCTGAGTTCGATAGTGGACTTAATATGACATGGTGGCTTCAGCTAACTCCTGCAATAGCAAATTCATCCCTAAAGAGCAAACTGCATAGTTACTGTTCAGGCCACTTTTCCTGTAAGAAACAATGTGTTTGGCCCTGCTAGATGCCTGCAGGAGGGCTCTGATGGAGAGGAAACCCACGGAACCCAATATTAGCTCGGTTTTTTTAGTTTGAGGTTTTTTTCCTCAGAACCAGGTTTGTTTGTTTGTTTAAGCCGGCCCATTGGCGCCACCCAGTGGGGAGTCACTAGAATACAGTAGTGAAAGCCTATAGGCTTTAAAATTTTTTATTTATTTATTTAAATTGGAGGATAATTACTTTCCAATATTGTGACGGTTTTTTCCATACATCAGCATGAGTCGACCATAGGTGTACAGGTGTCCCCTCCATCCTGAACCCCTCACCCCCCTCCCACTTCCTCGCCAACTTGTCCCTCCAGGTTGTCAGAGAGCACCGGCTTTGGGTGCCCTGCTTGATAATATACATCAAACTTGCGCTGGTTACCTCTTTTACATATGGTAATGTACATGCCTCAGTGCTATTCTCTCAAGTCATCCCACCCTCTCCTCCCACTGAGTCCGTTACGTCTCTGTCTCCTTTGCTGCCGTGCACATAGGGTTGTTGGTACCATCTTTCTAGATTCCATATATATGTGTTAATATATGGTATTTGTCTTTCTCTTTCTGACTCACTTCACTCTATATCATAGGCTCTAGGTTCATCCATCTCATTAGAACTGACTCAAATGCGTTCATTTTAAAGCCGAGTAATATTCCCTTGTGTATATGGACCACAACTTCCTTATCCATTCAGCTTATAGGCTTTTGAAGGGCAGATCCAACTGAGCCTTCCTCAAGTTTCAGATCTAGTTCAACCATTCATTCCCTGTAAGAATGTTAAGAAGCTTCCTCGTAAACAGTCTTTCTCTTGTGTGTGAGGCTGCATGGTGTGGTGGGGAAAGCACTGGTCCTGCCTTTTCACAGACTCACTGTACCTTTGCTGAAGTTCCATATCCTCTCAAACTTTCCAAAAGCCTTCCATATTTCTAGTGTCTATGATTGTGGCATAATTGTTTCGTATTTAGGGACATAATTGTTTTAGTATTTACCCACTGTACTTGAAATTCGAAGTGGTATCGGTCTGGGTAAAGAAACAATATCTCTTTGGCATTTTGAACATTCAGGAATGATTGCAACCATCTGTAATTAATACATTTTAATTACTAAGTCACTGGCATCCAAATGCATAGTCATAAGAATGTTTCAAAAAGAAAAAGAATGTTTCAGAGACTTTAAACCATGATCACACAGTTTAGTGGAAAGAGCCAGCTTTTGCACCCAGATAGACCTGAGTTTAAATCTCACTTCTGCCACTTTCTGAGCGACTTTGATAAATTATTCTCCGTTTCTATGTGCCGGCTTCCTGATCAGGCCAATGGGGATGCCAAACCTTACTTCACAGAATCAGAGTTAGGGTTACATGAAGTGATAACTGCGGAGCCATGAGGGAAACTGAGACTGGTGGACAGCAGACTTCACTTGATGGAAGTAACCCTTAGCATTTAGGCCTGCAGCTTCCCATTCATCTTACCCGTTCAGCCCACCAGCTCACCTTGAGCACATTACTTCTGCTCTGAGGCCTGGATTTCTCTTCAGTCAAAGTTTTACCCAGAGACAATGATATAACCACCCAAAAGATCTTTTCTTTCTGTAACACTGACCCGTTGCAAACAATTACAAGAATTAGTTATAAAACCAAAATTGTCTTGATGCCATGATCTCTCCTTCACTTCCTCTCTGTCTCTTTCTCCCACACATAGACACACATGCGCACACACTTTGCATTCCCACCTCATTTTCTCTCTTAAAAAGTTAACCAAAAACACCAGAACCTTTGGAAGCCTAACAGAGGAACAGCAAATCCCTCTTCAGGTTGTCATCATCTCCAACCCCACACCAAGTGCCTGGGTCCTTACTCACACCATTGCGTGGTCACCTGTCTCCCCAGCCCTGTGCCCCCATCCCGCCCCAGCCCCTCTGCTCCAGCCGTAGAAGCACGTTTGCAGGCTTGGCTTCGGCCGGGCTTCCCTCGAGCAAGTGTGCTTAGTCACTCAGTCTGTCCGACTCTTTGTGGGAACGTGTACTGAGCCTGTGCACATCAGTACTTTCAAGCTTCCCACTCACCTCAAGTAGGCATCAGTGGTCCGTCTCACAGATGAGGACACTGTGGGCCCATTCCCCGCTGGATTACTCAAAGCTTTCTCCATCATCACTTGCCAGGCATTGGGAAAACAGCAGACAGCAGGCACAGCCCCTTTCTCCATGGACCTTACAAGGTCTTACAAGGGATGAATCCAGGAAGCAGGAATGCAGCAGATAATAGACTCTTCCCATTGTGAAGACGGGTGCCATGGAAGAGCAGGAGAGGAGGTTTGGGAAGGTAATCCTGGAGAAGGGCCACTCGGGCTAAAACCCAAAGGCGCAGGGAGGTCACTCAGGGCGCTGGCGAAGTCAGACTCTGTGCTCAGTCGCTCGGTCGTGTCCGACTCTCAGCCACCCCCTGGGCTGCAGCCCACCTGGCCCTTCTGTCCGTGGGGTTTCCCAGGCAAGAGTACTGGAGTTGCCATCTCCTTCTCCACGGATCTTCCCGACCAAGGGGTGCAACCCGAGACTCCTGCTTTGGAAGGCAGCTTCTTTTCCACTGAGCCATCAGGAAAGCCCAGTGAGGACAGAGTGAGACCTAAATGTGGGGAGATTGGGTTCCACTATGCATCATCCCCTCCTCTAAAGAGTTACGTTTATATCATTGTGTTTTATATCTTCTTCTCCCTGATAAACTGTATACCTCCTTGAGAAGAGTGACCTCATCTCCCAGGTACCTGGCCCATAGTACAAGTACTGAGCATAAAATGGCCACTTAATTTTTCAGTATATGTATCTTGAAGCAATTGCCTTATTTAGTATTACGAGTGCAAAAGTATTTACCTCGATCTGCTGTGTGTACTAGGCTGTTTCTTTAACCAGCACACTGGTATGGTTTTCTGACCGAGTCTCTGAGCCCCTGGCATGCCTGTTTGCAAGGTCCTCTTAGGGATCAACCCTGGGTCTCCTGCATCGCAGGCAGATTCTTTACCGTCTGAGCCGCCAGGGAAGCCCTGCTTCCTCAGAAGTTTCCTGTGGGGAAGGGGGTGTCGGCTGGAGGGGGACCTGGGGTCACAGTGCGCAGGAGAGGTAGGTGCTGCATCAGCTCTGCAGCAGGGGGAACTTGGAAGCAGCTCCTTGACTAATTAAAAGGACATGAAACGTGTCCTAAATGCCACAAGGCACAAGGCGCCTTCCCAGCCTGCAATCCAGGCCATTCTTGGGGATGAAAGAAGAGCCGCTGCCTGGGGCCAGATGCGTGGCTAGACATGAGGGGTTCAGTGAGGATTTCTTCTTCCTGACACTTTGGAACTCACAGCTGAGTAGAGCAGACAGACGCCCACCGTCCACACGTGCACGCACACACACACGATGTACAAACCGGCTCCTTGAGCGCATGACTCCAGGTGGGCAAAGGCAGGAGTTGTGGCAGATCCCCCGTGGGTGGGGCGGGAAGGCTTCCCAGGCAGGTCAGAGTCATCTTGCTGGAATTGGGAACATGAATGGCAATTAGCCGAGTAAGGAGGACAGGGCCTGGTAGGAGCAGGCCACAAGCAAGAGTCTCGCCTGTGCAGAGGTCCCGAGAAAGAGAACCGATGGCACATCTGAGATCTGTAAATGCCCGTGAGAACCAGGCAGCTGATATGGTTGCCCAGCAGTCACACTGGGCTATCCCTCATTTCTATTAAGAGATGTCCTTCCTCCCACTTTTCTTGACTTGTACGCACTGAAGCTAGCTTTTGTTCTTCCATCTTTGATCGAATCTCAGGGAAAGAGAAATTGTGCTCTCCTCTAAGAAAAATCCAATTAACCATATCAATCAGTAAGTGATACTTAGACTCCTGATGGGCAGACAGCTGGGAGTGGTGGAGACTGGGGCAAACCAGAGAGAGTATTTTCCATCGACAGAGGACAGCCATTCTTGACTCCAGCTATCCAGTGGCTCTAGATCTTGCAGTTTTTCCTGAAACACAGTGCAATCTGGATTTTTGGCGAGTTGGCTAAGTTTTTTAAACATTGCTCTGATGTATTTTTTTTTTTTTTTAAAAAGGAAGAAACAAAAAGCCCAGCCAACAGGCACATGTCTGTATGCTGAACCTTATCCCAGGGCCATGATTGTACCCTCCTGTTTAAAGGCTCCAGAGGTTGCCGGGGCATTTTCAGAATCCTTCAACAAGTCATTGCTCTGCCTATAGTTACTCCTAACCATCCTTCTCCCCCTGCTTTCCAGAAAGAGATGACGAGCAGGATGTGTCACTAACGGCCCCATCTTACCCTCCGGAAGAAAGAGGAAAGCTGTTTTCCTCCTGGCGTCCCAGGCGGGCAGGAGGGAGACTTCCCCGGCTGGAGAGGCGCGCCCACTGCCAGGAACAGGCCCAGCTGGAGACCAGCGGTGACTCCGGAGAGCGGTCCCCGCTCACCTCGTGTCTCTCAACCTCTGAGCGCTGCTAGCGTGACTGTGGACCCGCCGGGAGGGAAGGACCGCCCCTCGCCCATCCTGGAGGAAGGATGCCCCGCGCTTAACACGCACTGCGCAGTTGTGCAGTTCTGCCTGTGACCTGCCACCTAAGCTTTGCTGAAATTCAGGTTTTGCGCCCAAGGTCCGTATTCCTACTTCCCCACTTAGCTGTCTCGTCAGCCGTCTGCCTTTTCTGTAACGTGTGTTCTAAGTACCCAGTGAATTTTGGAACTCTGGATGCACAACCAGTTTTTCTCTAACAAGCCTTCCTGTGCCGTCTCGGCAGACTTCGGCCTTTGATGCTTGGTCTCGGCTGGGAGGTCTGACGCCCCGCCCGCTCACAGCATCCGCGCAGTTTCCGCCCCTCAAGCAGTTTTATCAGGGACCATTCCACGGGGCGGCTTGTCTCTGCCCCAAACAGGGTCTGCACACTCTCACTGCAGGAAACAGACTGGTCTCCAGCCTAAGGCTAGCTAGTTACCAGTTCACCCTGGACAGAGTATCTTTTTTTTTTTTTTTTTCCTTGTCTCTTCCAGTCAAGATTTTTTTTTTTTCCTGTTTCTCCGAAGAGAGAAATAAAGGAAGTTATAAATGACCAAGAATGATCGCAGAAGCACCGAGCCAGATTAGCGCAGTGTTTGCTCATTATTAAAAGGGTGTGGTGGCTGTCTCTACATAATACTGAGATTTCAGTGGGGGGAAAGTACAATGGGTAATTTGACGCCTGTATCTCAGCCAGCCAGCCCATTGACTTGTTATCTTCCCAACAGGCCCTCTGAGCTTCTAGATCCAGTCTATGTTTTCTTCCTGTTCCTCCGCAATCCCCACCTCCTACGCCCATTACATTTGACGATACAAAACAAAGTTAATTTCTGCCCGGGTGATGCTCCTGCCATGGTTGCCAAGGTAACAGGCAAGCTAGAGCCGTCTTCCTTCTTCCATCCTTGCCAATGTTTGGATCCCAGCAGACAGACTCTGTGCTGCATCCTGCCTTTTGAAAGCTACTTCACTTTTCGCTGAAGTAATGTTGCCTTCCCTGATTCATTCGCAAAACTGTGATGGTCCCAAGAGTCTGTAACTAGGGGGTGATGGTACTTCCGGTGATCATTTGGTTTTGACAAAATAGCAGTTGGTGGAGGGAAGTAGATGAGAATGTATTAGTGAATTTTAATGTAATACTGATTAAAGAATAACTTAACAACTCTGACTTTGTCTCATTACATGTGACGTGTGAAAGCCGTCTGGGGCTACCACAAGAGCCTGGAAAGGCATGAAACCTTTCTTTGGTCCAAACTAAGAAGGGACTGACTCTCTGGGCACTGTGGCATTCTGTGTTGACCTAACCCAGCAAACCAACCCTTGCTTTGTATTTTGTCAAAAGCCGTCTCATGGAATTCAAATGCTGCTACCTCTCCTCATATTGTTGTGTCCTGATCAACAACAAACATACCATTTTTTGGTTTTTGTTTGCTTCCTAAGTGACTTTGAGAGGACAAGATAGAGATCTTCTCAGCATCATTTCTGGTTTAACGGATCCAGAGAACAGACAAATGAGTACGTCTTCCTGACGTATGCGCCATGCAGTAAGTGCTACATCGGAGTGTTGAGCAGTGGAACAGAGAAATGACAGCGGGAAGCCCAGTCCCTGGAAGGAACTCTGAAGCCTGGCACCATGGAAAACCACAGGAGTTTTGCTTGAAAAAGCTGACATTTCGATAGTGCCTAATCAAGTAGGATGCTGGACTCTGAAGACTTCTGTTATGAATTCTTTCGAAGTTTATATTCTATTAACTGTGCATATGAAATTTCCACTCAATTAAAAAAAAATCTGGATTTTTTTTTTTTAAACTTCTTGGAACAATTTCCTCATGGTTATACTGTTCACTGCGCTAATCAGCACTTCTAGGAAAAGTGCTGGCAAGCCACTCATTTTTAAATTGTAGATAGTCCCTATTCCCACAGAACCTTGGTTGGCAAATTGTGAAGAAAATCACTACAGGTGATTTTTTATGTCTTTGGCTTCACTACATCCTGAGAACATCTCCTGGCAAATGCGGATCTGAGCTCCTGTGACCCTTCAGGCATCTCCTGCTTTCTGGATCTGCAGTTGACACCTGGCTTCTTCATTCTAACTGGCTGGCTCCCCCTCATTTCCCACTATTATTTTGAAGTTGAGTAATACATGTGTCTATGATTTTTTTTTTTTTGAGAAATGTCCAAGTGGGAACTTCAAAAGGAAAAGATTAACAGTGACATCCATATACCCATAGTTGTCAATCTCTTCAGTTAATGGATTAGAATCCTTCTTTTATCTATGTTTGGGGTATGTGTGTGTGTGTGTGTGCGTGTGCGTGCAAGTATGTGGGTCTTTCATGGCGCTGACATTATTAAAGAGTTCAAGCTGCTTTGAGCTCCAGAATGTCCCACAATCTGTAATTTTTTTCTGATTGTTTCCTCATTATTAGATTCTGTTAAACATTTTTAGCCAGAACATGACATAAGTGGTGTTATTTCTTTCTTTCTGCATCACACCAGGAAGCATGTAATGTTTAGTTGTCTCCTTTACTAAGCTTGATTAGTGAGTTGAGGTGTCATCTGCCTGATGCATTCATTATTAAGTTCCATAATTCATCATAAACCTCTGAAATTCAACATTCATACATTTTATAGTGTGAGACTGCTTTCCATTCCAAAGAGGTCCAGAAGTTCCAAAAGATTACAGCCATTGCAGTTAGATGTTGTTGCAGTGACAAAGAATTCTTCTTTTCCTGTGTCACAGGGGGAAGGAGAAGCTAAAAGTTTCCTTCTGCAGGTAATGCATGAGTATGCTGGATAGTGAGAATTTGTTGTGGTCCCTGGAGCCATAGTTAAAATGCATATAGCTTTTTTCTGCAAATCCTCAGTGTCCTCCCATTCAGGCTGATGATTTATTTTAGAGAGCACGTATTTTCATGAAAGGTGATTGCCCAAGAGTGCAAAAACTGATTTAGGTGGGGAAGAAATCTTTGATATTACACTGAGTCATGGCCCTCCCAAGGAACCACAGTATGTGCACAGATATAAAGTATGTATTTAGTATTAAAATTTCATGGGGATGGGGAATGATTAGGAATAGAATGTCTAAAAGGGCTCTTTAGGAAGATGATAGTGAAAAAACTAGATTGAGAAATACTCATCTGGGGTCAGTTTCTGCTTCTGAAATTGTTCATTTTCTCTTCCTGGGGTGTTTGCTCATTTCTGAGGGCCAGGATAAGTGGAAGTGACTTTGAGAGATTTTTTTTTTTTTTTTTTTTTTTTAGCTATTCCTTCTACAACCTTCCAAACCATATCAATTACTTTCCAGGTGAAATACCAATTCTCCTCTCAACAGTCTTCAGGCGCAGAAATCCTGCAGCATCCTCTGGTGTAACCCCCAGATCATATTCTGTGTGAAACCTTTCCATTCAACTGAAGTTAACTATTACACTGTCTCTGAGTTTCAGCTCACCTTTTCTAGTGTCCCACATTAAGAAAGATCCAAAAACTTTAAAAAGTAAAACATAAGTAAAAACATACTAAATGTGAGCTTTGTTTGCACATCCACTAAGTATTTGAAGACTCTTACCAGTTGTCCTTCAGCCTTCCTTGTTTATCATCTCCCATTGGCTGAATTAGCTCGGAAGTCGTGTTGTGCCACTGCTAACATTTCTATACTTCAATCTGAAGCCTTCCTGAAGCTGTGTATGGCACTGTGCATTATAGATATAACCAGCAGTGAACATGTCAGAAATCACTGCATGCTTTCTCCACACTGTACTGTGCCTTTGCTAACTCTGGATTTGATTTTATACATTCATAAATTTTCTATTATATTTGCCCATACTAAATCCTTATTTATATTCGGCAACACCGTTTTGACCGATCTTCTTGAATGTCCTACTGTTAGCATTCTTTGTTAAGATTACACTGAGTCGTTTTAATTCCCTTTTTCATTGGCGAAGTATTAGGGGACATGGATAATTTCTCTCATCATTTGTGGTGATTATGTCATTCTGGTCATTGCTGGAAGCATCACTTCCTATGGTCTCTACCCTTATATCACTTCCACATCCCATGGGTATCACACTGTGAATAAAAGAAATATCATAGGAAAAGTACAAGAAACGCGTCCAAAGGAAAAATCACTGAAAGGAGTCTGATGTGTCACTTGGATAATACTGTTGTCCTTTGGTCTTTTTACTTCTTGATGAAATAGGTGATTCTTGATGAAATAGGTGATTCTCTCCTAGAATTAGCCAAACAAAGCATGTTTGGGAAATGATGGTTTTTTTCCTCTGCTTTAAAAATACATCAACAAAAATATTTTATAACAAGCTATTCCCTCTGGGAATTATTAATTCTGGACAAGACTTTTTCAAAGAATAAATAAGGATTTCTGTAACTTTTAGAGGGAAGAGTGCATTTCTAATCTGACAGTTAAGCTGCTTTACTAGCTTTGAGTGTTCTAATTTTGAAGTTTTTCAGTATCTTTTCTAATTGCATCAGGAAAAAAGATTTAGCATAATTTTAGTTCCACTTGTGATTAAATTAAGGGTTTGGTTATAAGAACAAACTAACAATAAAAAACAATTTAAAATGGAAAATAAAACTAAAGAATATTTATGAAATTAGTTCTTTGTGAGTTTAAGAATTCAAATGTCACAAATAAAAGACACACAGCCATGATCTATTTTGTCTTTTTTATGTGTTTGACTTATTTCTTTAACAAATATATTCTTCATCTTGCAGTGATCTTGGAACAGATAAATGAAAAGCAAGGTTAATTTTACAAAAAAACGAATTCAGAATTTATTTTAGAACCCGTGCCCATATTTGCATTTTAGCAGAAGTTCCTTTGTCCTATGGCAAGTTTTCCCAGGAGGGTATCATGTGTATTGTGTAGCTTCTCAATAGATTAACGTTGTACGCTTTTTTCTTACAGTAGGATTCGGTATTGAGTTTGGTCATGACCTGGAATACAAAGATAAGTCTAGATTGTAGAAAAAGCTCATCAGTCAGAGTAAATAAACCTGAAGTAGAATCTCAGGCTTGCCCCTACCTTATTTGTGTGACACTGGGTAGTATATCTGTCCCTAAGAATTCAAAACTACAACTGGGCTTATAGGTTTGTTCCTATGTAGCTTATAATTTGGGGGGATAATAATATAAGATTAAACATCCATTATGTCCATCACCGATCCAATGGACATGAACTTGGGCGAACTCCAGGAGATGGTGAGGGACAAGGAGGCCTGGCGTGCTGCAGTCCATGGGGTCACAAAGAGTCAGATATGACTTAGCTACTGAACAACAACAACAAGATTAAAATATAAACACACTTAGAAAAGCAGAAATACATCAATTCTGTGTGTGCTGTGTGCTGTGCTTGGTCGTGTCTGACTCTCTGTGACCCCACGGACTGTAGCCCGCCAGGCTCCCCTGTCCATGGGGATTCTCCTGGCAAGGATACTGAAGTGGATTGCCGTGCCCTCCTCCAGGAGATCTTCCCAACCCAGAGATCAAACCCAGGTCTCCTGCATTGCAGGTGGATTCTTTACCAGCTGAGCTACCAGAGAAGCCATAAATTTTGTATACTTATCTATTATTAGTACATTTATATATTATTAGTACATTTACAGTCACTATGTAATAATCGTACATGACTCCAATAACATCCCCTGTTCCTAATAGCAACAATAGAATACTATGTCTGAAAAAAGCTGTTTGGGACGAGGTGATTTCTAGACACAGCAGAGAGAAATGAGACTTCTGAAATGCAGTCACACCTATGAAGCCTTCCTCTGCTTCTCAGGTTCACTGTCTGAAATGTACACCACGATGTGACCAAGAGGCAGGCTGTGGACTGATTTTGTCCTGAAGGCATGATTTGTTGAATCCACATAGATTGTTGTTGTTGTTGTTTAGCTAGCTGCCAACAGTTAAAAACTGGAAAACTTGATCCAAAAATCAGAATTTCTGGCTTCTCCAACTAAATCAGAAGA